CTGCTGCGTCAGGCGTAGGACTGCCTAGTTTGCCTAGCCTAGTCTCTGCACTGGCTCCGTTCCCGGCCTCCGCCACTGCTTCGCTGTCCTTCACTCTCGACTCCGGTGCTTCTGCCTGCTTCTTCCGTGACCGTTCTGCGCTCACGCCGCTTGCTACGCCTGCTGTTGTCTCTCTCGCTGACCCCTCTGCGGGTCCTGTCATCGCTCGCAGTTCTACGTCCCTTCCCCGTCCAGCAGTTCCCTCGGGCTCCCTTACAGGCCTCCCATTCCCTCGTTCTCGAGGAACCAGGTTAGTGTCGGCTGTCTCCAGGACCTCGGTGTCACCACCACGTTCCCTGGGCACGAGCGGTTCGCTGTCTGTTCTGAGGCTGTCTCAGGTTCCCCCCTTGCGACGTTCCCCCGGGACCCAGTGTCCGGTTTGTTTACCCTCGACACCGCTTCCCCCCCGGTTGGTGTGTCCTCCCAGGTCGCTGCAGCTTGCTCGTGTCGGTCCCTCACTCATCCGTCCCTTCTCTGGCACCGCCGCCTAGGTCACCCTGCTCTCCCACGTCTGCGTCACATGTCCCAGCACGGTCTTGTCTTAGGCCTCCCCGCGTCTCTCCCTCCCCTTCATCCCTCGACTGCGCCACCGTGCACGCCCTGCGTCGAGGGCCGGCTCCGCCGTGCTCCTCACTCCTCCTCGATGCGCCCTGCTACTGCCCCCCTTCAGACCCTGCACCTGGACGTTTGGGGCCCTGCCCACGTCGCCGGGCCGCGAGGTGAGCGCTACTTCCTTGTGCTCGTCGATGACTACACGCACTACACCACGGTGTTTCCCCTGGAGCGGAAGGCCGACGTGCCCGACGTTCATCTATCGTGGGTTGTGGCTGCGCGTCTTCACCGCGGTCTCCCCGTGTTGTGTCTCCACTTTTACTGTGGCGGCGAGTTCGCCTCTGGTCGGCTTGGACAATACTGTCGTGCGGAGGGCATCACCCAGTCGTACACCTTGCCGGACTCACCACAGCAGAATGGGGTTGCTGAACGCCGCATCTGCTTGGTCATGGAGTTCGCCCGTACCTCCATGATTCATGCCGATGCCCCCCATTTTCTGTGGCCGTTCACTGTTCGCTACGCTGCTCACTAGCTTAACTTGTGGCCACGCTCCCAGCGGCCGCAGGTTTCGCCGACCCTCCTTTGGACCGGGTCCCCCGGTGACGCGTCTGCGTTCCACGTCTGGGGCTGCCTTGCTCACGTTCGTGCCTCTGGCACGGACAAGCTCACAGACCGCACTGTCCCCGGTGTCTTCCTCGATTTCCCCCTGGACTCGTCTGACTGGCTTTTCTACCACCCGCCGTCTCACCGTTTCCTCCACTCTCGTGACGTCACCTTTGACGAGTCTGTCTCCTTCTTCCGCCGCTTCCCTCACCGAGGTCTCCCGGTTGCCGCGACCCTGTTCCTTGCTCCCTCTCCCCCGGTAGCCCCTGCTCCTCTCACGCCTCGCCCTGCCCCGTCTGGTGTCTCTCACGTCACTCCCCTCCCGTCGGTTGTCCTCGTTGAGGAGTCCGCTGACTCTGGTGATACCCCCGGCCCATCCTTGCCGCGTCCCCCTTCCCCGGTGTCTTCGCCTCCTCCGCCGCAGCCGCCGCCGCCGTCGCCGCCGCTGCCGACACCGCTGCCATCGCGGCCGCTCTTTGTCCCTGGGGGTGCTGGTGTGGAGGAGGGTGTTTGTCCTGCGGCTCCTGGGGGTGCCGCTGGTGTTGGAGGGGGTTCTCGCTCTGGGGGTGCTGCTGTTGAGGGTTCCGCCGACGGTCGTCCTGCCTCTGCCGGTCCGAGGGTTCCGGCCCAGCCGTCGCAGCAGCCACAGCAGTCGTCGCCGCCGGTCTCCGCTCTCCGCCTGCTCGGCCTTCCCTCCCCGGACCGCTCGCCGGTGTCTCCCCCACCGCCTGCTGACCGTCCTGTCTACGGTCCAGTGTTCCCCCTGCCGGAATCGTCTCTGGCCCGTCTTCCTCCTCGTTCCCCTCCTGTGTCCCCTCCGCTGTCACCTGACCCTACACCTCCGTCCCACGTTTGGTCTCGCCGTCCCTCCCGTGCTCGTCCCGTCTCTCCTGTCCTGTGCTCCCACCCTATGTTGCTCCGTTCCCGCTCGTCTCGTCCTCCCCTCCTCCCGTCCCCTCCTTCCTCGTCCCTTGCTGTTGTACCTCCTCCGTTCTCTGACTACCTTCGTGCCGCTCGTCCCCTTGTCCCTCGGGTCCTTGCCTCTCTTGTTACCGACCCTTCTGTTCCTGTCTCGCGCCTTGACGCGCTTGTCGCTGCTGTCGCTGACTTCGCCTCTATCCGCCGCCTTGACTACGCTACCGCTTTGGCCTCTGATCCTGCCCGTCCTCCGTCCGTCGGGGGTGCTCCTGCCCTTAGCAGTGACGTCCTAGAGGACAGGCAGTACGAGCTTGCTTTCCTTTCCGAGGCTGCTCCCCATCTCTGCTCCATGCTGTTAGTCCCTGAGGGTGACCCCGACGCCTTCGACATCCCGACCCCTCGCACCTATGCTGAGGCCACCTCGAGACCTTGGGCCTCTCAGTGGAAAGCTGCCATGGAGCAGGAGATGGCTTCTTGGAGGTCCACCGGCACTTACGTCGACGCAGTTCCCCCGCCTGGGGTTAACGTGGTCGATGGTCGGTGGCTCTTCAAGGTGAAGCGCCCCCCTAGAGAGCCGCATGTGTTCAAGGCGCGCTACGTGGCTAGAGGTTTCAGTCAGCGCGAGGGAGTTGACTTCTTCCAGACCTTCGCCCCGACCCCGAAGATGACCACTCTTCGGGCGCTGCTACACGTAGCAGCACAGCGCGACTACGAGCTTCACTCCCTCGACTTCTCTACTGCCTTTCTTCAGGGCAGCCTACACGAGCAGGTCTACCTGCGCCGACCACATGGCTTCACTGGTACCTTCCCCCTTGGGACCCAGTGGCTTCTCAGGCGCCCGGTCTACGGCCTGCGTCAGGCTCCCCGCGAGTGGCATGGCACGCTGCGTGCCACGTTAGCAGACCTGCAGTTCTTTCTGTCCTCTGCTGACCCTTCACTGTTTGTGCGTTCCGGCCAGATTCCGCTCTACATCCTTGTCTACGTAGACGACCTGGTCTTCGCTACTGCTGACAGGTACGCACTAGCCTCTGTGAAGGCTGAGCTCCTGAAGAGACACACCTGCACTGACCTTGGAGAGCTGCGTCTTTATCTTGGCCTGCAGATCTCTGGGGACAGAGCAGCACGCACCATCACTCTGACACAGTCACACTTGGTGCGTCAGGTCCTTCAGAGGTTCGGTCTTCAGTTCTCCTCTGCACAGCCCACACCTCTACATGTAGACCATGGGCTCTCCGCTCCCGTTCCTGAGGAGCCAGTAGAGCCCAGTGGCCCCTACGCAGAGCTGGTGGGTTGCCTCATGTACTTGATAACTTGCACTCGCCCAGATCTCGCATACCCTCTCAGCATCCTGGCTTGCTTTGTGGCTACAGGCAGACACCGACCTCAGCACTGGTCTGCCGCTAAGAGGGTTTTGCGTTATCTTGCTAGTACATCGGGCATGGGGTTATTGCTGGGAGGAAGCAGGCCAGTGGTCCTTACCGGGCACACAGACGCTTCTTCGGCAGACGACTCTGAGACGCTCAGATCGTCGCAGGGCTACTGTTTTAGCCTTGGTTCGGGTGGTATCTCTTGGAGATCCACTCGCTCGTCGTCTTTGGCTCAGTCCAGCTGTGAGGCCGAGATCTACGCTGGTGCCATGGTGGCACAGGAGCTCCGCTGGCTGACCTTCTTGCTCACAGACTTAGGTGAGCGGCCTAGCTCTGCCCCAGTCCTGTACGCTGACAACAGGGCCATGATACTCCTGTGTCAGGAGCCTCGGCTTGAGGGCAGAGCGAAGCATATCCAGCTGCGGTACTTCCTCCTGCGCGAGCTACAGCAGCGTCGCCAGGCCCGCGTAGTTCACTTGGCCTCAGGTGCCAACACAGCTGATATCTTTACTAAGGTGCTTGCGCCTAAAGATCATCAGCGGCACTGTGTACAGCTGGGTCTTGTTCCTGTAGCTACTCACCTGTTAGGATCCTGATTGTGTACTCTCTATTATATATACCTGTCAGACTGGCCTTGTGGCCTCACCTCCAGTGGTCGGACTAGTAGTGGCGCCCTGGCTTGCTTTAGTCTTGTTTGTACTCTTGCTGACTGGTCTTCAGACCCCTGCCTCAGTGGTTGGACTAGTAGTGCCACCCTGAGCAGTTTGCTTCTTGCTTAGCTTCAACCCTTGTCTAGCCTAGGGGGTGTGTCAACTTATACATATTAGCTATGTAGAAGTTATAGGCTAGACTGGGGTATGCTTCTTGTGAGTACAACCAACTAGTATTTGTTCTAGGTTTCTTCTTCTAGTTCCATTATTCAGTTCTTACTTTGACACCCTTTTGTTGAAGGCAACCCTGAACGCGTTCGGTGAACCCTGGGATTTTCAGGGTTCCAGATGTATGAACACTTACAAATCAGGGTAGGCATTTTTTGAAAACTGAGCCCTTTGGGTATTTTTTTTTGTTTTTTTTAGTGGACAGCTCAGGGGGGTTTTTTTTTGAAATGTCAGGCCTGGTGTCAAACATATATGTATATGTTATTACAGGCTAGATAGGTGCGTACTCTTAGAGAGTACAACCCCACAGCACAAAACCATCTTGTATCTGTCATTCTAGTTCACCTTGGTACTCTGAGACACCGTGCTGTAATTGCCGATTTACAGGATCGCTGTTCCTTACCAGGATAGCACGATTCGCAAGCGTGTGGCATGGTTCGCATGATTCCTTTCGACGAAACAGAATGGCACGCGGCATGCATGCGATGCGCCAAGTGCTGTTCGCGGATTTGATTGAGTCGACCCACCAATTACAAGGCACATGAGCGACCAAGCCGGCTTCTGGTTCTGGTACTGGACTCGGTCAGACAGTTCATTCAGTGTTCAGGAACCCATTTTCCGTTGGTGGTACTGAACACCACTCGTAGGAATACGCCCTAAGTACAGCAGTATGCAGTCGCAAACAACACACATCCCACGGTTTACAAGAAACTTTTGCATGTCTGCTCTGCGGCTGGCAGGCATCCATCCAGCACGTGCATTACTGACATTGGACACACTACTGCGTACGGACTTATCATACCAGTGCACCAGTTACACATTTCAGCATGCCGCCCAGTACATCATCCCTGCCCCTGGTGCATGTCACGACATCGCATCCTAGATGTACGATAGTCCCATGATGCCATCAGGCTGCTGCAGCAGTACAGAAATCCCTGGCGGAAAAGTCCAGTCCACGCCTAATGAATGCAGTAGTTTAGCTGTATCAGAGGCGGTCTGTCTCGGTGGCTAGTCGCCTAGCCTTGCCCTCCAGAATCTTGACTGCCTCAGTGAAGAGCACACTGGGAGGCAGCGCCCCCGTGCTCTCCACTGAAACTGCAGGGGGCGCAGGAGGGACAACGGACGGGGAGTGGTCGAGAACAGTCAGGAACAGTAGGAAGAGGGAAAGTGATAGGAAGAGGGAGAATGATAGGAAGAGGGAGAATGACAGGAAGAGGGAGAATGATAGGAAGAGGGAGAATGATAGGAAGAGGGAGAATGATAGGAAGAGGGAGAATGATAGGAAGAGGGAGAATGATAGGAAGGAGGGGAGTCAGCCAGTGTTTTTTCACAAGAGCTGCAGGGTGTGGAGGGGACATGAGAGAAGTTCGAATTGTCCAGAGCGAGGGACGGCAGCGTCCTTGTGCTCTCCACTGCAACTGCAGGATAAGTGTGAGGAGGATAGGGGTGGGTGCATGGTGGTGATGCAAGGGTGCATGGTGGTGATGCAAGGGTGCATGGTGGTGATGCATGGGTGCATGGTGGTGATGCATCGGTGCAGGGTGGTGATGCATGGGTGCATGGTGGTGATGCATGGGTGCATGGTGATGATGCATGGGTGCGAAAAAGCCACATAGGATGGGAGGCTGGAGATGCAGACTTGGAGCGCAGACGACCTAAGGAGCTGAAGTTGGCACTTGACTGATGCTATGATGCCATGAGGACTTGACAGAATGGATCGAACTGGCTCTTGGCGAGAGCAGTGTAGCGTTACAGATGGCCCTTAGAGATGGTTGGTCTTACAGATGAAGTGGTCTCGTTTCCGCCTGAGCTGAATGTAGTCGCCCCACCCCTCCTCCCTGATGCACTCCCGACACACCGTGCAGTTGCGCGCCCGAGGGGCACTCGCCCTCTGTATGCCTGGAGGAAGGTAAACAGGGCGGAACAACGGAAACAGGGCGGAACAAGGGAAACAGGGCGGAACAAGGGAAACAGGGCGGAACAAGGGAAACAGGGCGGAACAAGGGAAACAGGGCGGAACAAGGGAAACAGGGCGGAACAAGGGAAACAGGGCGGAACAAGGGAAACAGGGCGGAACAAGGGAAACAGGGCGGAACAAGGGAAACAGGGCGGAACAAGGGAAACAGGGCGGAACAAGGGAAACAGGGCGGAACAAGGGAAACAGGGCGGAACAAGGGAAACAGGGCGGAACAAGGGAAACAGGGCGGAACAAGGGAAACAGGGCGGAACAAGGGAAACAGGGCGGAACAAGGGAAACAGGGCGGAACAAGGGAAACAGGGCGGAACAAGGGAAACAGGGCGGAACAAGGGAAACAGGGCGGAACAAGGGAAACAGGGCGGAACAAGGGAAACAGGGCGGAACAAGGGAAACAGGGCGGAACAAGGGAAACAGGGCGGAACAAGGGAAACAGGGCGGAACAAGGGAAACAGGGCGGAACAAGGGAAACAGGGCGGAACAAGGGAAACAGGGCGGAACAAGGGAAACAGGGCGGAACAAGGGAAACAGGGCGGAACAAGGGAAACAGGGCGGAACAAGGGAAACAGGGCGGAACACGGGAAACAGGGCGGAACAAGGGAAACAGGGCCGAACAAGGGAAAGAATGTGGAGGGGGTGCAAGGGGCGAAGACATTGATCTTGCTCATAGGACTGTTGACCATGGACCACAGACCATGCATCTTGCACCTTGACCATGCATCTTGCAAATTGACCATGCATCTTGCAACATTGACCATGCATCATGCAACATTGACCATGCACCTTGCAACATTGACCATGCAACTTGCAACATTGACCATGCACCTTGCAACATTGACCATGCATCATGCAACATTGACCATGCACCTTGCAACATTGACCACGCACCTTGCAACATTGACCATGCACCTTGCAACATTGACCATGCATCTTGCAACATTGACCATGCACCTTGCACCATTGACCATGCATCTTGCAACATTGACCATGCATCATGCAACATTGACCATGCACCTTGCAACATTGACCATGCACCTTGCAACATTGACCATGCATCTTGAAACATTGACCATGCACCTTGCAACATTGACCATGCACCTTGCAACATTGACCTTGCATCTTGCAACATTGACCATGCACCTTGCAACATTGACCATGCACCTTGCAACATTGACCATGCATCTTGCAACATTGACCATGCACCTTGCAACATTGACCATGCACCTTGCAACATTGACCATGCACCTTGCAACATTGACCATGCATCTTGAAACATTGACCATGCATCTTGCAACATTGACCATGCACCTTGCAACATTGACCTTGCATCTTGCAACATTGACCATGCATCTTGCAACATTGACCATGCACCTTGCAACATTGACCATGCATCTTGCAACACCATGCACCTTGCAACATTGACCATGCACCTTGCAACCTTGACCATGCATCATGCAACATTGACCATGCACCTTGCAACGTTGACCATGCACCTTGCAACATTGACCATGCACCTTGCAACATTGACCATGCATCTTGCAACATTGACCATGCATCTTGCAACATTGACCATGCGCCTAGCAACATTGACCATGCATCTTGCAACATTGACCATGCATCTTGCAACATTGACCATGCACCTTGCAACATTGACCATGCATCTTGCAACACCATGCACCTTGCAACATTGACCATGCATCTTGCAACATTGACCATGCATCTTGCAACATTGACCATGCACCTTGCAACATTGACCATGCACCTTGCAACATTGACCATGTATCTTGCAGCTCACCATCCCCCATGTCCTCGATGTCAAACACGTTCATGGGGCACTTCGCCACGAGCTGCTCCGCCATCTGCCCCTCCACTGGCTTGCGGAACACAACCTGTCATGAAGGAAGGAGAGGGGAAGGGGGGGGGAGGAGGGGCAGTGTGACAGTGTGAGAAAAGAATGCAAGGGGGTATCACCTGCCGTCTGCCCCTCCACTGACCTGCGGAACACCACCTGCGAGATTCTGTGGGAGTGAGAATGAGAGTGAGAGTGCGAGTGAGCATGTGAGGGGGAAATACATGCCATCTGGCCTCCACTGACTCGAGGAACACCACCTGGGATGGGGGGGGACGGGGGGGGGAGTATGGGTTGGCGGGAGTGAGCGTGAGAATGTGATGGGGACAATACAGGGGCAGCCATCTGCCATCTGCCCCTCCACTGGCTTGCGGAACACCACCTGCCGTCAGGGAGAGGGGGGGATCCAGGTGAGAGGGGGAGGGGGGTGTGAGGAGGGGCAGAGTAAGTGTGCAAAACGGTATTCCCAGCCACTTGCCCCTCTAGTGGCCTGCGGGGGGAACACCACCTGCCAGAGGGGAGGCAGGTAAATTTTTCAGGCGCCTCAAAAAGGGGAGGCAGGCAGGCAGACTGCGTGTGAAAGGGCATTTTACCATGTTACCCTGCCAGGCTGCCATCGACTCCATCAAGCACCCACCCATAGCAACGCATTTCAGCGCAGCAGCACGTGGTATAAGTGAATTGAGACAGTACAGCTCGATTCAGTGCGGTACAATATGGTAGAGCTTACTTTCGGCAGCATGCGCACGGTAGGAGCGGTGCAATGCGGTGACTTACTTCTGGCAGAGTACAGTGCGGTGCAGTGCAGTGAAGCTCACCTCTGGCAGCATGCGGTAGGATGCGGTGGCAACAGGCGACCACTTGGCGTGTGTCCTCCCGATGCCCTTCACTGCATGCACCTCCAGCTCTATTGCCTGGCGGGTGGGCGGGTGGGTGGGCAGGTGGGTGGGTGGGTGGGTGGGTGGGTGGGTGGGTGCACACATGGCATGTAAGAAACAGCGGTGAACCATGTGCAACAAGCACAGGTGAATGATTCACATCCACAACATGCGTCCTCACAACATGCGTCCTCCCAACATGTGTCCTCCCAACATGTGTCCTCCCAACATGCGTCCTCCCAACATGCGTCCTCCCAACATGCGTCCTCCCAACATGCGTCCTCCCAACATGCGTCCTCCCAACATGGCGCACACACAGGAAGCGATCGGTGCACAAATAGAAATAGCGGTGAATAATTTACAATGCCCTCCATGGCGAGCAGGACACGGGTACACCCCTGTCGTAGACAACGCAACACAGCAGTGGCAACCCACCACACAACACATGTTCGAATCAGAAGACAAGGGTACAACCCTGTCTGAAACACAGCAGTACCACACATGTCCGAATTGGAGCCTAGCGAGAGCGATATCGGTGTGGGAGGGGGCAGGAAGGCGCACTGCTCCCATAGGCAGTACCCACCACTCAAGCACCTCTCATGCGTTTTGCCCGCAAAGAAGCAACCGCACCTGTCCGGGTCGCAGTCTCGCGAGCGTGATGTCAGGGTAGGTGGGGGCGGGCGGGCGCGTGGAGAAGTCATGCAGCTCGCTCTGCGGCCGCCCAAACGACGTGAACTTGGTGGGGCGGTCGGGGGGGTACGTGCTGCCGTTGGGCTGCCACACGAGATGCTTCGAGAGCACCGTGCCTGGTGTGGGGGGGAGAAGGGATGAAAGACAGGCGGAAAAAACGCGTGGAAAGAGAGTGGTAAGAAGCGACTTTGGGGGGTCCTCGGGGAGTAGGTGGTGCCGTCAGGCTGCCATTGGCACCTCGTGCCATTGGGCTGCCACAATAAGTGCTTCGATTCAAAAGCATTGTGTGTGGAAAATCGAAGGAAGGGAGAAGGGAGGTAAGGTGGCAAAGGGGCAGCGAGATGGCACTCACGGCAGCACCAGAGGTATGTGGGGAGCGGTATGTGAGGAGCGGCATGTGAGGAGCGGCATGGGAGGAGCGGCATGGGAGAAGTGAGAACGCACCGTGCTTGGAGCCGTCAGCAGGAGGGTTGCGCGTGCACTTGTAGTCGAGCTTGAACACAAGGGTGTTGTTCTCGCTTGCCATGCCGTCCTCTGCCATCATGATGTGATGTAATGGCATGTATGGCAGAGTGTGAACAAGGGTGAGTGAACAGGAGAGTTGCTGTTGCGCTTGGAGGCAATGTTGGTGTTGCGCTTGG